CTCAATATAATACAATTCACAATAAAACTATTGTCACTGACTTCTTCGTTTGCTGATTGTGATACCACAGGAAGCCCATGTAAACGATCGCTGATCGTCTAGTTGTTATTAATAAACAAAGTTTCTTCTTGTTCTAATTTGAAATATTTGCCCAAACAAGACTGTCTAGCGCTAGAATTCAGTTCCGTAAGCATACTACTCTAAGCTCCATGCGATCCGCACATGCGCGTAGGTAGTAGTAGTTAACTAATTTTTTGGCTCATTTCTCATGTCTCATGCCTTGACGATCGGCTACCACTGAAAGTCTTCAAAAACAGTGAAAGGAAATACTATCATAACTGTTTGGGGAATTTGTTCTGTACATTTGAAAACTACCGCTCAGYTAGTACATGCATCGAAGACTTTGGGCGGGAGCCGAATTTGGTCATGACAAGAAACCAAAGGTGCCCGAAATTAAAAGTTATAATATGTCTACTGAATCGATTTAGATTACTAATAAAGTTATGATAGTCTTTCCTTACTTAGATTATACCGTTTGGAGAATTTTCTATACATTTGAAAACTACCGCTCATTTAGACCATTGAAGACTTTGAGCTCGCTACTATGGCGGCTTGGCGTAATAACTGATTGTAATTTTGTTTTTCAAAAGATACTAATGACATACGCGCCCACCAGGAATATAACAATAATTGTTTCATAGCTCGATGAAAACCACATGAATGCATTTACAGAGAATGTACAGGCCTTCCTTATTGCATTTACAGAGAAATTACAGGCCCCCCTTATTGCATTTACAGAGTTTTATGATCAGCTCGCTTAATCTAATTTACAGAATATTTACACGATCGTCTGTAATGATCTTTGATCTTTTTTTTCTGTATTTGTCTTTGTTCTATGTCATTTAATAGCATAAAATTTTCATTATGTTTCCCTTCTTTTGTCTCACCTTACAGGTTCAGCTACTGTATAGAATTAAATCAGTTTTTAATGTCTTTGATACATGACAATTTCAGAAATTGATCCCTCGTCCCTCCCCTGTTTAATCAACAGTAACAGTTTTATTTATGAATCATCCTTATTTACATGAAGTTTGCCCTCGCAGTTAGTCCAAGACTATTCGAGGCGAGGGCGATAATGAAGGAGAAAAACTAGTAGAAAAATGTCAAAAAATTCACAGTTTGAGTACGTATATTAGGAAATTATTCAATAAATATTAGGATAAATATAAAATGATGACAAAGGTGTTCCTCAGTATGAAGCCTTTAGCTCGTTAATAATCTGATCGATATCTAAAAAATCGTCTGCTTTTTCTAAAATCTCGAGAGAGATGCTCTTAATCAGTGTCTTGAATTTGAACTTATTCAGACTTTTAATARAAACAGGGAGACTATTCCAGATTTTAGAGCCCATAAAACGAAAAGAACGCCTACAAGATTCAGTCCTGACGCCATCARCGTAAATACATTTATTTGATGTTGATCGTGTCGTGTATCGATGGACATCTTCCAATGATCTKAATAAGCAGTTCAAATTGTCTGGGGCTTGACTGTTGAAAATATCATGCATCATAATGCATACCCGCTCAAAAAACATGAAGTTGATGGGAAGTGAGTGTATCTGTAGGAAAAATGGTACAGTGTGCTCCCGCGGGTTTGAGAAGTTGATTAATCTTAGCGCACGCTTTTGTAGAACAAGTACTGTTTTAAGGTGTGTTTTAGCAGCATTTCCCCAGCTACAGATTCCATAATTTACATAAGGGACTATCAAAGCTTTATAAATGCAATTTTGGCGTGGTACAAAATGCCGCAGTTTAGCAATGAGTCTAATAGTACGCCAAGGTATCGTATTGTATCTTTATGGCAAATTAATTGAGGTGTGTTTGAATTATCTGGGATGTAAAAAGAGGGAGAAAATGGGAGTTTTTTTTGACGAGGTTTAAAAATAACAAAGTTAGTCTTTTTAACGTTAAGAGATAAACGATTAGTTTTTAACCATGTCGACAGTGATAAAAGCTCATTATTTACTATAAGTTGCAGTTCATTAAGATTTCTGTTATCACAAAGTATAGTTGTATCATCTGCAAACAGGTAGAACTATAGGGTTTTGCTCGATTTATATATATCGTTAATGTAGATAAGGAAAAGTAGTGGGCCCAGCACTGAGCCTTGGGGCACTCCGCAACTTACTGATTGATAATTGGAAATGGCTCCATTAATAGAGACTGTTTGTTTTCTATTTGTTAGATACGATCTGAACCAGTCAAGAACGATACCGCGGACACCATAATGGTGCAATTTTGTTATTAGAATATCGTGGTCAACTGTATCAAAAGCTTTCTTCAAATCAATGAATTGGACGTCTAAAACTACTTACCGTGTCCAGGCGGAAGGCCTTCGGCACGGTTATAAAATGCAGCGATTTTATCTATTTATTTTTTTCCAAGTCGCAGTTTAGCAATCC